CCGTGGTAAATGCTGGGGGGGGGGGACTCCCATGCAGATCTCTGAGCCCAGAGCTAAGGCGGGAGTTTAAGGTGAGGATGCCGTGCCGGTGAAGGATGAACGGCAGCTGAGTGCCCTTGTGCCGAATGGAACCACGCTCCGGACCTGGACTCGGCAGGGGTGGGAAACAATCCCTGGAGTCGTCACCCTGAGCTCTTCGGTGGCACATGCGCAGAAGGGGTGAAGTCAGTGGGTGGCATATTTCCTATCACTGCTGTGACAAATTACCACAAACTTGGTGACTTAAAACAGTACAGATGTATCATCTACGGTTCCGAGGCGAGGAGTCCTAAAATCGCGGTGTGAGCAGGGCTACATTCCTTTGGAGGGAGGCTCCAGTGGAGAAGCCCCTTCCCTTCCCTTCTGCACTTTCTAGAGGCCTCCCGCCTGCTTGGCTCATGGTCGCCACCTCACAGCCCCCTGGCGTTTGCTTCTGTTGTCACATCCCCTCTCCCTCTGCCTCACCATCGCCTCGCCCCCTCTGACCCCGGCCCTTGGTGAATATATTGGGCCCACTCAGACAATCCACGAAAACCTCTCCAGCCCAAGGGCCTTAACCTCATCGCATCTGCCAGACCCTTTCTGCCACGTAAGGTAACAGGCACAGGTTCTGGGGATCAGGACATGGGCATATTGGGGGCCACTGTTCAGCCGGCCACCGAGGGGGACCAGTTTTGGAACCGTGTGAATGAAGGAAGTCCCACCAGAGATAGGGAATGCCACCCCTCCCGATCGCCAGCCGAGAGCTAAGCCACTGACGGTACCAGCCAAAGGCTGTGAGTGACTCTTCCTCCCCTCCCTGTGTCTGCCCCTCCCCACCCCCAACAGAACAGAAACGCAAGGAGGCGCTTGAGAAGGAGAAGGAGCGTCTCCAAAACATGGATGAGGAAGAATATGACGCCTTGACCGAGGAGGAGAAAACCGCGTTCAACCGAGAGGTCCAGCAGGCCCTCCGCGAGCGGAAGAAGAGGTTGGAGTCAGGGCTGGCCTGAGCCGAAGCGGGCCCCCGGGCAACTGCCATGGGGCGCACAGCCCGCCCCCAGGGTGGCAGCAGTGGCCACGGGAGACCCGGGACGATGGATGACTGGGAGCAGGAAGACATCCTGCCCACCCAGGGTGCTGGGTGCTGCGGCCTTGCAGGGCTTCTCCCGCCTGCCTCTCCTTGCTTCCCCCTGGGGGGCATTTGGGATGAGGGAGAAGGCTAGGCAATGCAATGGAGAGGGGCCTCTGGCTCCCGTGCTATCCTAGGGCTTCCACTTGCTCCCCCTGACAACTGCCCCTTAGGTGTGGTGGCCCAGGGACCACTCTCTTCACATGGTTATGGTGGCTGCTCCCCAGAACTCAGCCACTTCTCCTTCCCTGGCTCCCACCTTGGCCTTTGGTGGTGTCGTCCATCCCCTGAGGTCCGGCTGTTTCTCAGACTTGATCCTTGGCCCGAGCAGTTCGCCAGAGACCTGAGCATGCTCCCAATCCAGAGCTGCCAGCCACCTTCTAGGCTCATTGTTGGGACCACACGGGAATGACTGGATCCCCTCCACACCACCTAGGGCTCAGGAGATTGAAGGCCGCTATCTCAGGCTCTAAGATACGTGGCTGTGGGCCATATGTCCTTGTTGCCTTCTAATGTGCCGGGAGAAGGGGGGGTTCCATTTCCTACCCCTCCTTAGGATTCCAACACTGGAGGGGGCAGAGCCAAGACACTTGCCTACAACTTAACCTCTTTTCTTCTCTCTTCTCCCTCCACCTCGGCTGCTCCCACTAACCCCAAAAGAGCTTTATGTCCTTTCTGCCCCTGCAGTAGACCCTCGCTTCTCCTGCCTGGTCCACTGTAAAGTGCCCAGTCCTCCAGGAGTATGAAAAGCCTTGCTCTGGGATTCCAAAGGAATCTCTTTTTTTCTCACCCAGGCCATTTCTTCCAGGCATTCATCTCACGGTGGACTTAGAAAATGCAAATCTGATCTTCAAAGCTCAGCAATGACCTGTGTGTGACACTCACGCGCGCGCACACACACACACACACACACACAGAGTAATGAAGTAATGATGAGTTGGCTTCAGTGGGTGGAGAGCCACAGCAACCAGGAGCCACCAGGGATTATTCCTGGAGATGAAAATAGATGGCTTTTGTATTTATAGCAGAGATGCTATTCCCTCCACATGTGTTCATACTTGGCGCCTGGCCTTGGCACCCTCGCTGCCATCAGCAGGAGGCTGGGCACAGCTGAGCTCATAGCAGGAGGGGGAAGAAAGAGAGGCGGAGAGGAACGTGGCTCTCGGATCCAACGCCCCCGTTCCGAGCTAGCTATGGGAGGCCCTGCTATTAAAAACACCATTTCTTGCTCTCTGAACATCAAATGACAGTGTAGGAAACCAGACCTCATCTGGACTGACAGCAGAACAATCTTTGAAAGCTGCTTTTAAAACACGCCAACATCAAGCCTACTTTCAGCCGTTGCCCCGCTCTCCTTGGAAAGGAGGTTGGAGTAGAAATACAGACTAAGTGAGAACCCTTTGTTGAGTTTCGCTTCACCGGTCTTGCTGAAAGACCATCCACAGCCAGATGTGAGCTAGCCTTCCCTTTCCTCCTTTCCCTCCCTCCTCTCCTCTTCCTTCCTTCATTCCTAGTCACACAGCTTGCTTTTGTTCTCTCTTCTTAGCTCAAGAAAACTCTGCCCCATGCCCCCCCCCCCACCACCACAGCAATCCCAGGCGGGGAGGGGCTCCGGCAGGTGGCCTCTGAACTTACTTTCTCTGCCTGGTTTGATAAAGGGAGCTGGAGAGACTGGCCAGGGAGTTGCAGGAAAAGAAGCTACAACAGGAGCTTGAGCGGCAAAAGGAAGAAGATGAGCAGAAAAAGAAGATCAGGAAACCAAAGCAAGGACCAGGAAAGGAGGAGCCGGCGCTGAAGAAATCCCAGCTAAGCCGGCAGGTAGCAGCCTCCCCGCGCTCCTCCCTGGGAGGTGGACGCAGAGCGGTCGGCCACGGTAGCCTCCCCTCAGTCCCGCACGTCTCCCCTCCAGAAAGCTGCCCTAACACTGCTGGTTGGGTTTTATGGTGGAGCGGAAGGGAGGAGGAAAGGGACCAACATCGGTTGAGCACGGGCTGTGTGCTAAACCCTGGGCTTATGCTCCATGTCGTCCTGTTACTTTGGGCATCCTGCCCACCCCGCGAGGTTCAAAGACAGGAAACCCGTCTGAGGTTGAGAGAGAGGAAGTCACAGTTCCAGGATCTCACTCAGTTATGTCTGACCACAGCCCTTGCTCTCTCCACAGTCCCCTGCAGTCCCTTGGATGGTGCTAAAGAGGCCAGTAGTAAAGATTTGCCTCCAGTAAGCTAGCAAGTCAGTGACACCCCTGTGCCCAACCAAGAGCTTGTCCTTGACAACAGTTCAGGAAGACTCTCAGCATAAGCTTGTCCTTGCGGACAAGTACCATCAGTGCATCAGCCTGCCAAGCTGAGGGGTCACATCTGTGCCCACTATGATGGGAAAGGGGCAGAACAGCCTGAGCAGAGCCCGGGTGGTGGTCATGGCTGAGGGGTGTACCTGGCTTTAGGGTGCACGGTAGCTGTTTCAGTAGACTCCCAGACAGGGTGCAGACTGGTCCCAGTAGGTGAGCAAGAGTCGGTGACCACAACACCCTGTGGCCTTTCCCAAGGCACCCAGAAGCAGGTGTAGAGGGACCATTTTTGGTGATCATTTCCTATTGGTCCTGCAGAATGCCAGCTCCCAACCATAATGGGCATCAAGGTCACCATGCTTAGCGCCAGGCCGTGGCTAGATCTGTAACAAGGAAGGACCACAGAATGGACATTTTGATAAAGGTCCCCACAGTGATCCTTAGGCACAACCCCAGTGTATATAAGTGGCACCTGGAATCCCGTGAGGACTTCTTGCAAAATAAAATATCCTTTTGCTCTTTTTCATGTGATTTTGTGATTTGCTGTCCTTTAAAGAACTATTTTAAGCATATTTCATGTGTTTTGCCTTCTAGACTCTTACCTTTTCCAAATTAGAGGTAAAGACAGACTTAGTAGAAGCAAAACTATCTGAGAAGGAGCAGGTAATAACTGAGAAGGAAGAACTGAGCAAGAAGAGGAAGAACCAACTGGTGGAGAACATCATCCTTGGGTTTCCTCTTGTCCAGGAGCAAGAGGACAGTGAAGGGGACCTCCTGAAGGACACTGACAAGCCTTTGGCCCAGAAATTTAAGACCTATGAGTTGACTTTGAAAGACATCCAGAACATCCTTACATACTGGGACCGGAAGCAAGGAGTTCAAGTGCCTCACATGGGGGCTGAGGACCTGTCCCATGAGCCCGATGACCAGCGCCAGGTTCCATCAGGGGGGCGCAGAGGCCGCAAGGACCGGGAGAGAGAGCGCGCGGAGAGGGAGCGAGCTGAGCGGGAGCGCCTGGAGCGAGAGAAGGCCGAGAGGGAGCGGCTGGAGAAGCTCCGGGCCCTGGAGGAACAGATGGATGGAGGAGAGGCCGACAGGGAGGATGACCACGAAGGGAAGAGGGATCTCGGTGTGCCATTTATAAATATCCAGACACCTGACCTTGAAGGCTCCATGTGGAAGCAGGCCCTGGAGAATGACAAGCTGCCCAAAGGGGATCAGGTACAAACTCTTCACCAAGGTGGATTTGTAACAAATCAGGCAGCAGGTACTGTGATCATCGTCATGAAAGCATTTCTCTCTACGTTGAAATCCATATCCCCGTAATTCCATTAATCTCTGATGCCCCCTTGGATAAGACATTAATGGCTAAAAGGGCCTTTTTCTGCTTGGTGACAATCCATAAAAAGTTCCACAGATCTAAATTATTCCATCTAACCTCATAAAAAGCCACCGTAAGGTTGATTTTTAATATTGACATTACTGTGCTACATGCTAGCAAGGCCAGTACACTTTGGGGTGAAGCCAGAGGCTCAACCACCATAAAATATTTTTCCCACAAGCTTCCCGCGGTAACAGAAATTATACTATTAGATAGTCTTTATGTCCCTAAAAACAAAAGGTTTTGCGTAACCAAAAACAACCTTTGGCAGTGGTTTGCAGGCGATGGTTATTACAGCCTTTTGTCCAATGACAAACTTTTTCTCTAAAACCCTAGAAAGCACATGTTTTAGGCTGCAGGTTATACAGTCTCTGTGGCAACCACCAACAATATGCAAATGAATGGGTATGGCTCTGTGTTATTTACAAAAACAGGTAGAAGGCCAGATTTGACCAGGGGGGCACAGTTTGCTGACCTCCGGTTTAGTTTATCAAAACTAGATCAACCTTAAGTAGTAGAGAAAAGAGCCTACAGGGCTGTATAGCCAGCAAGGTTAGATGGGAAGATAAGGGTAATTCAAGAGGGCCATAGTGGTGCAGAACGGGCCCAAGGGGCAGAACACAATTGGAGGGCACACAACACCAACTCCTCTCTCACAGTTTGTGCCTCAGGTCAGCCTGAGGTAAGGAATTGTCTTTTTTTCTTCTGAAATAGCTTTTTTGAAAATGAACGTCTCACCTTGGTGTGTACTCTAGTACTATAGCCAAGTTGATCTTCTGCTCTCCACATTCCAAGCCATAGGTTAGACTGTTGCTTAAAGAAGTCCTTGGCTCTATTAATTTAATAATTGGTACAAATGACTCATCCCTTTCCTCTCAGACACTCTAAATCCTGGGAGTCATCTGCAGTTACAAGTTAGCCAGGAAATGTCTTTGGCTGCCTGACCCACAGGGTTAGAAACATGGGATTGCGAGGCCTAGTAGCCCATTTGGTCCACCGAATGGACCAGAACAGGGGCTGTTGTGATAACAACGGTTAACCTAGGAACGGCAGCCTTATTCTGAGGGTTTTACATGCCGAGGAGGAAGTTACTACTGAATGTTCAAACCGTCTGCTCTGGAGCATGCTCGTTCGTTGTATACCGGAGCAGAACGGAAGCAGAGCCTAGGAGTGGATTCTCTCAAGCTTCTCCTCGACTCCTCTCCTCACTCCCATGCTTCATCCTTACTCCCAGAACCTTTGCTCTTTTTCTTTGCTGTATTTGACTTGCTCCAGTCCTTTCTTTCACCTTTAAAGGAAAGAACATTTAAAGATAAAAGAAAAATTAACATGGAATCTAAAAATAGATGGAACATCTATAGATATCAGAATCTTAAGAGCTGGTCGCTTTAAACAGATTTATTGAGTGCCCACTGTGTGTTAGGCCATGTGCTATGCTGACCTGGTTCCTGTCCTAATGGAGTTTACAGTCCATTTGCAGAGACAATTAAATAGTCACAATAAAGTGACAAATGCCTGGTCTGGGAGGGTGGGGGTCTGGAAGGACCTGCAGAGCGGAGTCAGAGGCCTTTCACACTCTCCCCTGATGCCTGCCCACTGCAGTGGCGTCTGCCGAGACCCTGAGGGAAAGGCAGGTCTGAACCTCCCCGTGCTCCCTGGGAGGAATTAGAGGCAGCCCGCCTTCTATGCAGAAAAGTAACGATGGGCTTTTCCTTTAGATTCTAGACGTCTTGGGCCTCGGTGCCTCTGGACTGCCCATCCCACCTCCTGTCTTATTCTCAATAATCTCCTACCCTCTGAAGCGGCTGCCTTTGGCCACAACGGAAATCATGAAGCATTTTTTGTTTCTAATTCCACTATCGGAAGAGCTCGCCCTGCTGGAGGAGAAAAGAGAAGTGGAATCAGAAGCAGAGCTTTCCACCACCACCACCACTACCACCACGAGCTCTGTGAAGGTAAAGAGGGAACAGCTGGTCTTTACCTTAGCAGGACCTGCAGGGGTGGGTCTCTTTCCACAGGGCCGGAAATTGAGTGTGGTGTTAGGTGTCATGCTCGCCCAGGTGTCTCCCCTCCACCTCCTGGAGATTCTGCCTGAGGACCCCTCACCAGCCTCTCCCTGGCCCTGACTTTTCCTACTTCCCAAGAGGAAACTAAAAATGACTGATTTTCACCTTCCAACCTTTCCAGTCCCCTTGGGATGGTCTGGATGGTCTAGGGAACTTGTCAAATTGCTCAGAAGCTCAACTGCCAGAAAAAAATAAGCAAAACCAGCTTTTAAAAAGATAGCATAATGCAGGTGTGAGGCTAAGTAATTTACACAGTGCCTAAGAACACAAGAATCACAGACACGGGTTAGGGAGCACGCACCACTAGAGGAAAGGTGGATTACGGAAGAATTAGGATGGGAAAATTGGACATTTGGGGTAAAGTCAATTTTTATCACCTTGCCTGACACAACACAGTAAAATTCATCCTAACTGGATTAAAAATATAAGCAGCCAAAATGAAATAATGCAAAAAGAAGAAAACATATTGACAATTACTAGAACAAATTATGAAGGAAAAATAGATTTGACCAATAACGTGCAAAAGGTATATATATTAAAAATTATGGAGGGCATTTTTATTCCCAGAAGAGTGAGGTGGCCCAAGTTCTGAATCTCTCCACATGGCCTCCTACAAACCATGCACATCAGCAAAGAATCAATAAGATCACCTGCAGGTCCTGCCTGCAGCTCAAGTGGGTGACAGAGAACGCCCCCACCTTCAGTTTACAAGTAAGCAGGCCACCAGCAGCCGTGGCGAGCAGCAGCCGTGGGCAGGCCTTACCAGAGCAGAGCCCAGATGAAACAGATCAAAAAGAAAAAGTTGCCAACGTCAGAGGTGACTATTACTCTTTTCTGAAAATCGACCATTACCAGGAAAGAGCTGAGCTTTCTCTAACTTCACCATTTTAGGGGGAACTCTAGTTTATCTCCACTTGACGAAGGTAAGCTCTTCATTCTAGAAGAATGGCAGCTGGAATTATAGGAAGAAGTAGAATTAGCAAAGTTTTACTCTGTTTTCCCTAGCGTGTGAGGAGGGGATGGTTAAGGAGTGCCAATGGATACATACAACACAGCAGTCTGCTGGCCAGCAAGACCCTCACTCGAGCTAGAGCGTCATCCCCACAGGTGACTGGCCGGCTGCAGAGGGAAAAGTCTGTCATGGCCACATCTGGCAGGCACCACTCCAGCCACATGAACACGCTTCACATCTGTAATCACGGGCCAACCTGACATTGTTCGTCCCCCAGTGTGGTGGAGTGTGATATACACAACATCCTCCATAAATCTAATCAAGCTTTTAAGCCTAATTTTCAGTTTATGGGAAATACAGGAAATAAAGGAATAAATTTAGATGTCACTCTGAGAATAGCCAGAAAATTTCAGACTCTGGAATATTCTATAAGAACGCGGAACTGGTGTCTCCAAAAAGTCAATGTGATTGGAGGGGGAAGAGGTCTACATTAAAAGATACTAAAGAAACACAACAAAATGCAATATAGGAACACAGTCCCTGCCAGCGTCAAGCTTTCTTTAGGGTCTTGTCCTCCTTCTCAGGGAACGGGGTACCAAGGAAAGTTCTAGGCTTCTCTTTGCTCCACTTCTCTTCTACTCTAGTGTAGGAGGCTGGGCCCTGCTCTGCTCTAGGCAGCCAGCCATCAGCATCCCGAACCTGCAGTGGGTCACCCCAGGCTGCAGACGTGCTGTAGGCATCTATGTCTTCTGTTTGTATGTATTTAAGATGAGTATTTAAGACCTTGTGCTCATTTTTAATCAAAACCCAGGAGGAGCCAAACGCCTCATCTAAGGGGAGCAAACAGAAACTGAAAGAAAAAACAGATGCGGTTCGAGAGACCTTGAAGGATAAACGTCGCATGGTCTTCAACAGGAAGGGTCTTTCTGGGACACCTTCTGGAACCATTGCTCCCATGTCAGACATAGACCAGAACAACTTGTCTGGGCAGCACTCCCAGGAGAAATTCATCAGGTGGGCCTCCAGGCAACCCGGGGAGAGAAATGCCCAAGCCCCACGGGGAGGGTACAGCTGTCGGGGGGGCAGATGGGAACAGGGCTGTTCTCCTGTGAGGCCCTACAGACCCCCATGCAGAATCCCAGCACACAGGACTTCTCCTGGGCAGCAGTTGTGCCTTCTCTTGATCCGAAGGAAGCATTCTCCCTTGAAAAGCCCATGTGGTCATTTGCAGGCTGAATCATTTCCGGTGGATCGTACCAGCCAATGGCGAGGTGTCACTGAGAGTGCAGTTCTCTGCTAGTGATGTCGGGAACTATGACCAGACCTTCAACTTTGAGATCCTTGGAACTTGCCGCCAGTACCAGCTTTACTGCCGCGGTGTTTGCGCTTACCCATACATTTGCCAAGACCCAAAGTAAGCGTATTTTATTTTCAAAGAAAAGGTTAACAGGCACATTTTCATTTCCCCCATGCTACTTTGAACAAGGAGGCTCTTCATGCCAATGTGGAAGTGGGACAGCCTCCCAGACCCTCCTGTACTGGGCTTCAATGTCTTGGACGCCGACTAAGCCACAGGACTGACATGATACCATGAGACTAAGGCGAAGTTAATATTTTGCAAGATAGTTTGCTTATTCAATTATTAAGCAAACTTAAACAGATTTTATATTTACTGTAGGATTTCTTGTGCCGCACTATAACTATATATGTGAATCTCCATGGGTGTACTTATTTTTCTGAGCTACTGAACACTACTGTGCCCCATATGCAGCACACAAAGGCACCTGGCTGAGCAAGCTAGTGGGGCAAGTACCCCCCAGCCCCCAGAGAAGGGGCCTTTTATAGCTTGTTCACCAAGAGGAGCTCTTTTGCAGTTCTGATTAAGGAGCCACATAGGACAAGGAGCTCAGGAGCTAGTCAATATCCACCAGAACTAGTTTTCCATGAGGAGCCTTGTGAATTTTTCTAGCTGGTCATACAAGAGCAGGAAATCCAACTCAGTTCTATCATCAGCCCCTCATTATGAAAGACACCCATTGGAATCTTTTTTCTCAAGTCCAAACTGTACTATTTTCACTCAGGGCCAGGGGAGAGGGGGAGCAGGAATAAAGGTTCAACAGAGGTCTTCAAATTAAGTCTCATTCTGTCTCCAAACACCAGGACCCTTTGCTGAACAGGGAGTGTTGGGTTCATGTGAACACCAAGTGGTGGCATTAAGCTTCCTTTCAGGCAGCCTCTCCTCTTTTCTTCCTCCCCATATTCAGAGTGGTATTCCCTCAGCGGAAGACAGACATGAAAACAGATGAGATCGTCTTTAAGAAATATATTGTGAGCATGGAGATGTTCTACTTTGGGCCACTGCTTTGTGGAAAATCAAGAGATAAGTAAGTGTTTCATTACCTCAAAATAGACTTTAGACCCCGGGGTTGGGTTCATGAATAGTACAAGCAGAGTCTATGTGGGCATAGCTTTTGTTAATGCTCCCTCAGTCCCTGAACCACAAATTAGGAGAACTGGGCTCTTGTACCCCAAGTTTCTGCAAAGCACCCAGATAAACAGGGAGGTGCCATTTTCCCAGGTTTTGGTGGGGGAAGGGTAGGATCGAGAGTTTTATTTGGGATATGTTAAGTTTGAGATTCTTGGACGATATACCCAGTATCCACATAAAGCAGGGAATAGGCTACACAGTTTTGGTTCTCCGAGGGGAGAGGCCTGTCTTCAAGACAACAAAAGCTATGGGCATGGATGAGATTGCCTAAGAAGAGAGCATACAGTAAGGAGAGGAGGACCACAGATGGAGCCCTGAAGAATTCTACCACTCACAAGAGTTGAAGCCAGCAAAGGAGATGAGAAAGAGGGCCAGAGCTATTGGTGGAAACCAGAAAAAGTTGGGGTCATGGAGCCACAAGAAGAGGGTATGGTCAGCTATTGACGACAGTCAAATGCTGTAGAGAGAGTAAAGCGACGAGCCCATCAGTGTTCACAGGGTTCAGCAACATGAAGGTCACGAGGGGCCTTAGCAAGAGCCCTTTTGGGGGAATTCTGAGGATGTGGCCCTAGTGAAGTGACTTGAGGAGTCAGTAGAAGGTGAGAAAATGGAGGCTGGGTGTGAGGATAGCTCTTTGGAAAAGCTTGGCTGTGAAGGGAGTTGGAGGGAGTTGAGAATGAGTGGGAGGCATAGAGTCCAGGGAAGGCTGTTCATACACTGTCGTTCTTACAATGTTTGGATGCCAAGGGGAAGTAGGAGGGAGAGGTTGGAGTATCAGGACAAAGTACAGGCCATCAGCTCCCTGACACAACGCAATGGGATGTGTAGGTGCTGGCCCTATTATGAGGAGGGATGAAGCTGAGATAGCTTCAGGGGCAAGTGGGTTACAGATTTGGTTGGAACAGTGAGAAGGTTCCCATACAACTTTTTTCTCCATGATGAATGATGCGAGGACATCCCCAACAGGGAGGGAAGTGGAGGGAAGTTAAAAATGTCCAAAGTGAGACAACGGAAAAGGTGTGAAAAAGTTTTTGTGGAAAGTGGGAGAGGGAGACCACTAGAGAAGTAGAAGATTACCTGCAAAATTGGAGGCCCAGGTGACGTTGATTATGATACACTTGTAGTGGTACTAGTTTTTTCAGTTCACATACAAATTTCTTACTATATAGGTAGGGAGGTGAGACCCAAACTGGAACCAAGATTCAACGTGTCATCATTCAGTCAGGCATGTATTGTGATAAGTAGAGAGTGTCTATTTCTGTGCTTACTTGGTGGCGCTAATGAGCCATCTTTATTCCCCATTCCCTTAATACTTCCAGTTTGTTTCCTGAGGTGAAGGAAAGTGAAGGTGAAGCAGGTTTACTGATGATAGATAGAGAGGATCTCCAAGGCCCAGCAGAAGGGCTTAGGAGAAAGGAATGTGGGTCGGGTTCATGGACATGAGGTACAGAAACGCCTGGAGGTTGGAGGCAGGGAAAGAGGCATGTGTTCAAGACAGCCCTGGAATTGGAGCACAGGATTTGGGGCCAAACAGCGCTGGTCCAGGAAGAGGACAATTTTACAGCGGCCCAGAAACCAGGACCAAGTGCAGCCAGGTATATAATTCATTTATTCTTTTAAACCTTATTGAACCTCAGTGTCCTCATTTGCAGAGTGGGATAACAGCAGCACCCACCTCACAGGTTTGTGAGTACTGCCCTGGATAATGCACGTGAAACTTTTAGCACAGTGCTGGAGGGTAGGTGTGAAGTCCACCACCCCTTCGGCAGTCACACAGCAAGTACTCTGTCTCTCTGACTCTGATCTGGTTTCTGCCATGCACTCTCCTTCCTTCCTCCATGATAGCCTGTCCAAAAAGCTTTTTGAACTGTTTCTGGGCGTGAGTGGGTACTACGGTGCCTTGCTTTCCTGACCTATGCTATCATCTTTGATGATGTGAGTCTTTACTGGCATCTCTTGTGCTGCTCACAACTCCTTTTCTCTTTGGTACCATTAACTGAGCAGCTTCCAGTGCCCAGGCTCCTAAGGAACCGGGAAACGGACACATCCTTGTAACAGTGAACAATGCCAAATGAATCCATGGCAGGACAGTAACATCCTGTGCAGGTACTGAAGGCAGTGAATGAGGTCATCTCTAAGACATGCGAAATAAATTACTCAAATGATCATCTCTTCTGGGACTATAAGCACTGAGAAGGATAGAGCTGTATATTTCTGTTAGAATTCTTTACAATAATAACTACCATTCATTGGGCATTTGATATCTGCACTTGTCCTGAGAGTATTGGATGCACTATTTCCTTTGATGCTCACAGAAATCCTAAGCGGTATCGCCATCCCATCTTAGAGATGAGGAGACCAAGGCTTGGGATGGCAGGGGTGGGGGAGCATGGCAGGTCAGGTCACAGCTGCAAGTCTTCACAACTACAAAGCTTGTGGTCTCAGCCACCATGCCACTGCCTCAGTGTAACCACACTGTCCTTTGGAATTGTCTTGCCCCTCACGATTTCCTTTTTCACCTGAGCTCTCAGGCAATCATCACATCCACATCCCTAATTTATCCCTAATTTTTGTTCATTTCCAGGTATAAGTCATCCTTGTTCCCAGGCAACATGGAGACACTGACAATCCTGAACAATTCCCCAATGGTCGTGGAGGTGTTCTTCTGTTTCCAGAATGATGTCAAAGCGAACACCTACTTCCTGGAACCCATGAACATGATTCTAAAACCCAATGAGAAGCAGGTACAGCCCCATGGAAACGGGTCTGCTAGGGCAAGACTTCCTTGGGAAATTTGAGACCTCAGCATGCTCAGTGTAAATGTACTTTGTTTTGACTCGTCCTCTAGATACTGAACGTATGGGCCTACCCTACTGCAGTTGGTGTCTTTGAAGACAGCATAGTCTGCTGCATCAAGGAGAACCCAGAGCCAGCCATCTTCAAAATAAGCTGCGAGGGGGTCCGCCCAGAACTGGAGGTGGAACCCAGGCAGTTGCATTTTGACCGGCTCTTGCTGCACAGGTCAGACTTCTCAGTGACACCAGGACTGGGATGGAATTTAAAGAGTATTTAGTTCTAGGGTCTTGATTTACTCACAACTTTCCAGGCTTTAAGCACTTGAAATCCTGCACAATGGGGAAGTTCTGATGCTGTGCAAATCTGTAGCTCGACTTCAGCAGGGTCAAGGCACCACCCCCAAGAGCAACTGCCAAAGTGTTGCACATTTGCAATTTTCCTCAGAAGAAAGACTAGCTTTTTCCAGATTCTCAAAACAGTCCATTACCCTAAAAGGTTAAGAATCTCTAGTCTAGAAATTAGAGTATAAACAGAGAACATTAGACCAAAACTAGAACTTACATATTCATTCACTGGAATCTATGATTCTAAATAGAGAATGTTTATTTCTGGGGCTGCTGAGAAAGAATAATGTTATGAAATGAAGCCTGCATTTCTTGATCAATACTGTCAGGCCCATTCCCTGATCAATACTGATTAGTGAACTAAGCAATAATTGAAATAACTAGAAGTACTTTTTCTGACCTGCCATAATGAATCAAAATCATTTGAAACTGACAAAATGTCTTTTGGTCTCTGCAGAAAAGAATCCAAAGTAGTAGTTCTCCGCAACGTCACAGCCCTGCCCGTGGCCTGGAGGATCACCAGCCTGGAGCACCTGGGCGAAGACTTCACCGTGTCCGTGCTGCAGGGCACCATCCCCGCCAAGGCTGACTACAGCCTGCAAGTGCACTTCCAACCCTCCAAACCCATCAACATCAAGAAGGCAATGCGACTGGAGGTGAGGCTTCACCCACCTTCAGACTCGGTCGTCAAAATGGGTATATGTTGGGTTCCCTGAACACACAAACAACACACACTATACACACTACCAACACATACACACACTACTCAGACACACACACACACAGCCAGGCCTCCCCCATCTAATCCCATTTGACAGCCCCCAACCCACAATATCTTGTTCTGCACACACCATAAGCTCCCTAGAGGCAGTCTCGTTCATAGCCGATTTCCCAGTGCTAAGAACAGAGCACTCAATCAGTGCGGAGTGAATGAGTGAGTGAGTGAATGAATGAATGATGTTACTATCCCTAGGTAAGCCCTAGAATCCTGATTTCACACCCCAAACCCAGTCACCCCTCATATTCCTGTCTCAGGAAATGTCACCCTCCACCCAGTTGCTCCCACAATTACCTAATTCTTGATTCCCCCCTTTTCCCGACGACCTCCCTTCCAACCTAGTCTTCCATGAGTCTTGTCAACTCCATCTCCCAGTGTGTCTCCTGCACATCCACTTCTCTGTCTGCACTGCCACTACCACCCTCGTCCAGGCCACCTGCAGCGTCTCTCACCTGGACTTCTGCAGAGGCTTCCTAGCTGGTTTCCCTCTTCACATTCCCCACAAGTGTCCAGAGAGATCGAGAAAATGTCAGCCATTCTCCTTCCTAACGCGCCCTGCTGCTTCCAGCTGCAGTGAGAATAAGGCCCAGGGGCCTCACCTGCTGCGGGAGCCCTGCCCGCCTCTGCATCTCGGTCTCACTCCACGCTCGCTCTCACCCACCGGCTCCCGTCACAGGGTTTCTCAGCTTTCTCCTCTGCCCTTCTGCTCCGTGGGGAGTTGGCTCCTGCTATAGGGTCCGCTAAACAGCACTGCTTCGACAGGGCTCCTTTAATCACCCCACCAAAGGAATCCCCTGTTTGTGCAATGACTCACCCAGTCTTCTGTCTTTCAGAGCACTACCCCTTTCTGATGTTATCTTTACTTTCTTAAGTGAACTCTGTTGGGGCAAGATCTCTCCTGAACTGGATTTAAGGCCCACCCAGGATGAGCTCATCTCAAGATCTTTGACTTAATTACATCTGCAAAGACTCATTTTTTTCCAAATAAGGTCACATTCACAGAGTGTCGGCCGCAGACTGAAGGGTCCCAGATTCGATTCCTGCCAAGGGCACGTACCTCGGTTGCAGGCTCGATCCCCTGACCGGTTGGTGCTGGAGCGGGAGGCAACCAGTTGATATGTCTCTCTCACATCAATGTTTCTATCTTTCTCTCCCTCCCTCTTCTACTCTCTCTGAAAAGCAATGGAGAAAATATCCTCTGGTGAGGATTAAAATATATACGCACACACACATACATATATTTATACATATTCCTATCATATCCCCTTCATGATTCCCACTGCGTGTTATGTGGTTCAGGCTCTATGCACCTGGGTTTTGCTTTTACTGAAGGCTTTCCCTCACCCCAACAGGTTTTGGACACAGACAATCTTGTTGGAGTTGTTCAAATTGAAAACATCCTGGTCCTTGCAGAGTCCTATGACATTGCCTTGGACATCACCTTCCCCAAAGGTCTGTCAACTGCTTCAAGAAAAGGGTGTTTAGCAATCATATCTTTTAATGCAGTGTAGTTCTTGTGAATAGGAAGACTGTTGGTTGTTGGAGGCCAGGTAGAATTTCAGTAGATAGTAACGCAAGCCCCGGAGTGATGTTAACAACATTAGTACGAATCTCAGTTTCTCCAAATGGAGAAGATGGTGGGGTAGGAGTCATAAATACAAGAAATATGTTTTTATTACTGGAAGTTTTAGTTAGTGGGAAACATAAAAAGAAGGACGGTGGTCCTAGGATGGAAGCCAGAGGGAGCCGCCCCGTTGAATTGGGTGCAAGAGCAGCATCTGTTGTTTACTAGGACTCAATTATAAGAGGTTTTCCAAGCCACAGTGTTTTCAGATAACAAATTCTCTGAAATTGTCATCGTGGATTTTCCATGTGAACTTCAGTAGGAAGTTGCCCTGCTTCTCGCACCCATGCCCACTCACCCCTCTTCATTCCGGCCCCTGGCCTCTGCAGGAGCAGAAGGAGGCCTTGATTTTGGGACTGTGAGGGTCATGGAGGAGATGAAGCAGACCCTGCAGCTGAAGAACCGTGGAAAATACGAGATCTTGTTCAGGTAACCTGAAAGCCATCAGGCATGTGGTTGTCATTGTCCACTCATGGGGAGAAGAATTTGTCTGGGAGATTAAAAAAAAATGATTGAGGCAATCATAAGAAACATCTCTGCTTTTAGCCTCTCCTGGTTTCAATGAATGGAATTCCAAGTGCTAAGAGAGCAGAGATTCTCACACTGCTCTAAACTCTGTGACTTTGTAGAGGCCCTTAAGGGCCCTCTGAATGCACCTGGAGCCTGGGGGATGGGGAGGGATGGGGAG